TGTCTAACTCTGCCTGTCAAAAAATAAAAAAGAAGAAGAAGAAGGATGTGGCTAACCTTGCCAAATGCTTCAGATAAATGCACTCAGGTTAAAAAATAAAAGTTCCAAAGTTTGACAAAGAGGAGGGAGAGTGGTAAAAGAGATAAGTTGATGAAATGTGCACTTTTTCAAGAAGATGATGGTAAAATGGAAGAATAGAGGGACTACTTTGAAAAAAAAAAGTTCCCCTTTCTAAGGAACCATGAGAGAAGAAATAATAAGATGACAACATAGTCTGTTCTGGAAGTAAACAATCAGACCATGGGCTGGAGGAGGCCTGGGGAGAATTTCTATGTTATGACCTTCACTATATGAATGGGAGATACTTGGAATGTTGGCAGAAGAGAGATAGGACAGGGCTCCAGAGAGGTGATAGCCTGGATTGAGCCTGGGAGGAATGGGAGAGGAGAAAGGAGAACAGATGTGGTCACACGGATGAGTGTTTTCAAGGTCAAGATTTTAGAGTCAGTGTCGGTGGGGCAGAGTGTGGCCATACATGTGAGTTCCTGGAACGGAAGACAAGGCTGTGGAAGTAGGTAAAGCAGATTCTGGAAGGCGAGATGCTGGAAGGGTATCTCAACAGATCCCGAGGGCATCTGAGATAGCAGCAGGGCCCGGGGGTGGAGAGTGAGACGGCAAGTCAACGCCAACATTCAACAAATGTTGAGTGAGTATCTACTCTCTGCCAGCCCCTGGATGCCATGGTCCCCAGTAATGCAGGAGGTAAATCTGAATACAGTCAGTGTGTAAGCAGGCTGGGGGTAGGAGGCAGTGACAAAGCCTAGTATTGTATCTCACGGAGACAAGAGGGTCTTTGAATCTCATGTGCAGGGCCATCTCCTTTAATGGCAGTGGGGGGTTAGGAGAATGCTAAGCTCCCGAGGTGGTGGCCTGTGTGTTTGAAAGGCGTGGTGATGAGGGTTGTGGGCAGATAAACAGCTTCCCCTGGAGAAGGTTGCTGAGCAGCAGAATCATTAGAGACATACCACGTGCCTAGCCATGTGTTAATCGCTTGAATAACGACAGCGTTTGGCCCTGCTCTGAGGGTCCCTGGAACCTTTTTGAGCACCCATCTGTGCCGCCAGACCTTGAAGGGTTTACTGTTTCTCTCTGCTCTGCTGGCTAAGGCCTGCTCACACAGGGATAATGAAGGTCTCATTTGCCTCTGACAATATGGTGCCTTTCTGCATAATTTACATGTTTTCTTCAAGGCTCAGACACTAAGTAATGAGGGAGCAAATTCTAGTGCAGGGTCTTGCTACTGAGACAAGCAAACCCAGACTCTGGGCCTTTGCTCTTCTGTGATAGCCCTCGGGGCAGGTCTGCAGCCTGAGTAGGGGTCTCTCTGTCTTCATCTTGGCAGGCACCTGTTAAAGAAAGGACTTGGGCTTCTCCAGGTGGTGACTGAAGCCACCGAAGAGCTAGCTCTATGTCACTGTCACCTCTTGAAATTCAGTTGCAGTCAGTAGATTTATAAACATTCCTCTAAGATGGGATTCTGTTTCCAAGTTTTGAGACCATTAACTCCCACTTATTGAGTACTTCCATGTTCCAGCCCTTGTGCTAAGGGGTTGCATGAAATTTTTTTATTAAAAATATGCACAACCAATGAATTAGATGCTATTTCCTTCCTTCCTTCCTTCCTTCCTTCTTCCCTTTCTTCCTCCCTCCCTCCTTCTCTTTCTTCCCTCTTACCATCTCTGCTTCTTACCATCCTCTTAAACACCGGGCACACAGGAAATGGTGGTTAATATTTGGTTGTATAATGCTCTCCCCTCTGTCTGAAGTCCTCAAAGTCTCACCATGCCCTGTGGAAGGAAGCCCAATGTGCTGAATGTGGCCAACACAAGCCTCTGTGAGATGGGTCTTGTTTCCATCCCCAGCCTTGGAGACTTCCATTCTTTCCCTTCTTGCAAACTCCAGTGATCCCAAATAGTGCAGGTTTATTTTTTTTAATACTTCATGTAACTCCTCAGCACAGTGTCTGATACATGTGTGTGCTGAGGCAGGGAACTGGGTGAAACCAGCCAAAATGAAGGATTTAAGGATTCTCAGAGAAACTGCATATTTGCATCTAACACCTAAGTGTCTGGCTCACTCCATACTAGTCTGGGCCCTGCAGGGTGCTGAGAGGGAGTGAAGGATGGCTACACCATCGCTTGCCACTCTTGAAGCCCAGCAGCATGGTGACTTACAGGGGGAGGAGGTGAGGAGCAGACAGTTAACCCCAGTGCAGGCTTGACTTTAGGAGTATGAGATATTACCAATGTTCCTACTGGAGAAGATGAGACTGTAACTACACCCATGTCATTCTACCATCCTGTCCATTGGACTCAACCTCAGATATTCCTATCAGCACGCTACCCATCTTCTCAGGGGAGTTATGGATTTTACTGACTTCATTTACTTTTTATGGCTGACCAGTTGTCAGCTTCTGGTACACAGGCCTGGAGGCACATTCTGGGAACTCCTATAATGGATGTTCTTCTTTGGTCATCAAGTCCCGCAGAATTCAAGGTCAGGCTAGACAAGAGCTCAGTTGCTTGGAACGGGAGTAGGACAGCACAATAGCCTTGATACTTTTTCTGTTTGAGAATCCGAGTTTGGGGATCTTTGCATTTTCCCAACCACTTTGTCTCTGACTCCATCAGTCCAAAATCTAATTCACTGTGCTTTATGAATTACAATCACCTCTGCCCCAAACAAAGAACAGCCGTCACTCCCCACTACTTCTGCCTGCATATTCCTAACCTCGGTCATTCCTAGTGGTTTAGAGCTGTGCTATTAATATGGAGGGGGATTTAGGGACCGAAGAGCAAAACTGCAAGGAAGTCTCAAGTTCCTAGAGGTGAGGGGACAACCGAGGCAGGAGCCATGGAGTAAGATGTGGAATACGGGCCGCGCAGAGCCTGCTCTGCAAAGGGCAAGACACGTCCTGTCGGCCGTGAGAAGAGTCGGCCGTTGATTCAGTGGGGATGCTGGGAGGACACTCTCCCAGGCACCTCCTCTGCGCGGGGCTGGGATTCTCTTAGGAAGAGACATGACGTCTGCTTTTTGTTTAGGTTGGAAAGCAGCCCAGTGCAATGGAGAGGGCATTGGTCTGGGAGATGAGAGACTTGGTTCAAGTCCAGCTCGCTACTGTCCCAAGACAAGCAACTCGGCTTCTCTGGCTTCTGATTTTTCTCCACACTTCAAGACACCTGGGTGATCATTCATGCTGCTTTCAGCTCACAGGTTTCCCAGCCCATGAATGCGCAGGAAAAAGCAAACATCACCCCATCTGGCTCCCACCTTGTGTAGGATGAACTGTGGAGCTGCAGCTCTTCAGAGACAGATGGTCGGCAGGTATCTGTTTCCATATTTGGTGAGAAGTAAGTGGAGGAGGCAAAGAAGATAATGATGTCTGAGCCAACTTCTGCAGGTCGGCTGGCTCCCCACGCAGCTCACAGTGTGTGACTGGACCAGGGAATTCTTCGTGTCTGGTACCAAAGTTCCCCTCGTCAGTCCAGCCGGTTGTTTCCAGGGTTCTCCCACAGGGGAGCCCCTGGGTCTAGCTGCTGGGAATTGTCTGTGTTTGATGATGCTTTCAACTGTTGCTCTCCGTGTCCTCAGTCCGGAGGTGTTCGCTGAAGCCATTCACGCGTGTAACATTTCAAAAGGGATGTTGTCTTCCGGAGGACATTGAACCCTGAAAGTCCCCTCTTTGGACACAGCAGCTGTCTTTCCACTCTCCTCCCGGAGCCTGCAGTGTGGAGCAGGAGAGAGAGCAGAGTCTTTGCAGAGCTGTGGGGCCCTGATCAGAGGCCTACCTCCCAGAGGCCCTGTTTTCTTGTTTGTAAAGAAAGAGTGACGGTGCACGCCAGGAGAGTGGATGAGCGAATTTAAAGAGGGCAGCATGAGAAGCACCCACGGATGCACAAAGGATGCATGGATCTCGTCTTTTTCACCCTGCAGTGGCCACTTAGCTGCATCCCCAACATCTACCCCACTCAGTTGACAAACCAACCACAGGCACCCCTACTCTTCCTGCTGTAGGTCTGGGCAAGTAGCCTAGTTCTGGCCAGTGATACAGAAGAGGGGATCTCCTGCTACCGAGGAGAGGCAGGCCCGAGTTTTCTCTGGATAAGGTTCTGAGTGAGGTGGCCCCTGGAATTCCCACAGCCATGCTATTACTGGCCCAAAGATGTAGCCCGTGTGGAGAGAAGGCGGGAGGCCACAGGTTGCTGAGAGGCAGAGCCAGAGGCCCCGCGCGTCTTGTGGTGTCATTCCTGCAGACTTCCTGCTTTGTGGGCTAACACATCCATTTCTTGTGATTGAAATTAATTCGACTTAGGGGCTGCTGTCTCTTTTCTGAAGGCATCCGAGCTGTTAGCCCGCTTGTGATGGACTCCTGCTTGTGGTCATTCATCTTTCATGGTCTCATGGCCCCCCCCCAGCCCCTTCTGCTGTTCTCCCCATTGTACCCCCAGCTGGGGCTCCAGGGCCAGCCATTTTAACAGTGGGACACTTGCTGTCCACCCTGAACAACACTGATGTTTGGCTTTTCCTGCCTAAACAGGCCCCAATGTTGTTGCTTCTTTGCCACCAATTCCCAGGCTTCAGAGTGTTGCTGGGAAAACACAACCCATGCCCAGGGCTGCAGTGGGAATCCAGGCAGCCTTCCCTGCTTGGGGCCTGAGCGGCTGCTGCAGTCAGTCTGGATTACTCACTCTTTCTTCCTCCCTGCACTCACTCATGGCGCTCCTGCCAGTGCACGTGCCCTCTCACACGCCCTCCCCCAGACAATCTTCCCAGGCTGATCCCAAACTCTGCCTCCCACAGTGAGAGGCAAACATCACCCCCTCTGAAATCCTCTCTTCAAATCCAGCTCAACCTCCCAACACTGGGAGCTGTCCATTCATTTATGTTCGCTAATGGACCCGGGTGCATGGCGTTGAATTTGAAGATCTACACAAACATACACGAAGAAGGAGGCAGGAGATAAAGATCAAGCAGGAAGGTTTCAAGTCAGCCAGAGTCCAGTTCAAAGGTGGGTTGTGCTCCTTCATAACTAAGGGCAGTAGGGAAAACAATTAAACCTTGTGCCACAATTTTCATTTGAAGATGGAAGTAATACCCACCTACGGCAGACTGGGAGGTTATGTGCATGGAATAATTATATGAAAAGGTGGGCATTCGACACAGCAGTTAACATCCCATGTCTGAGTGCCTGGGGTGGAGTCTCAGCTCTGCTCCTTGTTCCGGCTTTCTGCTAAGGCACTCTCTGGGAGGCCGTGGTGTGTTGGCTCAAGTCACTGGGTCCCTCCACTTGCTTGAGAGACCTGCCCTGAGCTCCCAGGTCTTGCCTTCAGGCTGGCTCAGCCCTAGCTGCTGTGGACCTTTGGGGAGTGAACCAGTGAACAAGATCTCCCTCTCTCTCTCTCTCCCTTTCAGATAATATAAAGCAGATAAATAAATAAGAAAATATTAGGCACATGATAGGCCCTCAATAATCCTTCCTTTTCTTTCCTTTTCACTCAAAGTCTGAGAGAGCCCATCTTTCTTTCTGTTAGTCCAGTGTGTATTGTGTGTGTATACCCAAAACCTTTCTTCGTGGGTCTCCAATAATGTGCAATATTATAGAACTAAATCCATTTTGGCAACATGTAAGTACAAATCAAATAATTCTACCCCCTTGGCCCATCAAATGGAGGCTGACATACAGATACAACTCAACATGCGGTGCACACCTTCTGCCAGCCAGCACTGTGCTACATGAAATGATACATAGACGAACTGAATATGAAACTAGTCTTTTTCCCTAAGAGTCCTCGTCACAATTCCCTGAACGTGTGGGGCGCTTTGCAGATAGCAAATGCTTCTGCAGGCTGCGTTGCCTCTCTCAGATGTTTGCAGCCTCCTCCCCACAGATAAATGCAGGGGCACTGGGCAACCCCAACTGCTTGCTGGTGCTGTACTCGAGAGTTCTCAAATCTTCTCGGGCATAGTAATGAGTTGGGGCTTTCTACATGGACAGGCGCTGGGCCTCACCCATACAGGTTCTGCTGGGTAGAAATGAGTATGGCGCAGGACGCTGCCTCTTCAACAAGCTCCTGATGGGGTCTGGATTTAGGTGAGGACCAATGAGCGTGGGGTCTAGGGCAGCAGAGGGGCTGGTCTCCCAGGAGTGACACCTGCAGTGGGCATGACTGACAGCTAAGAGCATCCAGTGGATCTCAACAGAGGGACCTCAGAGTCCTGAGGCTAATGTGGAAACCAGGGACCACGTGCCAGAGACAGCATTGCTGGGCATGGGAGGACTGTAGGAGAGCACAGGTTGAAGATGCCCAAGGAAGTGCTTTGGAACTAGTCTAAGAAACAGGAGAAGCGAAATCCCTGGATCCACTCTGAAGACCGGAATGGCCTGGTAACTCCCTGGAGGTGACATGGGTGTGGCGAAGAAGGTGGTAAACCAGCAGGAGCTTAGACTCTGGAACTTGACACCTTTTTTGATCTTAGATAAAATATTTATGTGTTCATTTCCTTTTTGACCTCCCTGATATTTTCTATAGTTCGGGGAACAGCCCTGGGTGAGATCAGTTACTTGAAGGATGAAAATGGAATGTTGGCCGTCATACGTTCTATTGAATGCACTTTATACACATTCTCTCTCATTTTCATGAGCACAGAATCAGGTCGGTTTTAACTGCCTATGTGTTTCAGGCGAGGAACCAAAGTTTCAGAAAGGTTAAGCGATTTGCCCAGGATCTGACTGCCAACAAGAGGAAACTCACAACTGCACGGTTCGCCTGTCTCACTGCACATTCTCTTGGAGTCTCCCCGTGCCTACGCATTGAGGGCTTTATTCCTCATTGGCCAGGAAAAGGCCTCCTGGGCCCTCCCAATCCAGCCTTATCCGCCACCTGGCAGAGAAAGCGATTTCTGAAGCAGGAGAAAGCCCAGGAAGATTGCTCAGTTCCTGTGCGCACGGCTTCCCAGCTGGGGATGACAGCTAATCTTGAAAATCAATTCAATGCCTGCTCTCGCTGCAGACACTCCCCAGGGCAGGCCATGGCTCCTCGCACCGCTGTTAAACAGCACAAAAAGTGGAAAATTGAGCAGGATAAGACCTGTACCGGCTGTCAGTGTGAGGAGGTCCATGGGTGCCTGCGTGCTGGGCTTCGGGTCACTCACAGAGCACTCGTTACAGGGCCTGGAGGTGGCACCTTTAACCTCAGGGACAGATGGGTTATGAGGGGGCCAGAGGTGATTCCGGCCCTTGCAGCTGGAGAAAGAGCAGGACCAGTTCATTCAGGCAACCCAGGCTCTCTCAGACAGCTTGGGCATGGGCCTCTGGCATGGAGGCCGAGTGACCCTTCTCTGAATGCTGTCTGAACAGCAGGCCTGTGCCCTCTGGGACCTGTCCAAAAGGGACCAGGCTTAGCCAGGGGTGCAGACTCAGCAGCGAGCCCAGGGCTTTCTGTGTGTGGCCGCACAACCTTGACCCCCTCGCGTGCATGCTTTCTCAAGACTGCGGTTGGGCCACACAGCTCTAAAACTAGTGGAAGTCAGGTGATGCCATGGTCTTCTCCCAGATCCCAGAAGGCAGGCAGGAAGTGCCTTGCCTTATTAAAAGGGGAGAGAGAAAGCCAACAGGCAAGTTGCACCATGTCGTGTGTCTTGAAGCATTTTGCACGTGAGATCCCAGCTCTCAGAAACACCAAGGGGAGAAACCACTGTCTCCATGTCACAGAAGATAGAACTGATGTTCAGAGACTTCCACATGAATTAAAACAGTAGAAGGCAAATTAAATGTGCATTTCCCATCTATCAATAGCTGGCGTTCTATGATCACTGATGGCTACACGACCATGTGCGTCTGAGACTGAATTTCCTCTCTTTTGAGGCTACTGCCTGCTTGAGGAGAAGGTCGTTATGCCACAGTTGTCGCGTGCAGGGGAGGGCTGAGGGGTCACAGACACAGCATGTGTGGACGTGTAAGGCAAGGGCCCAAGGAGAGGCGTGGACTATTAATATTATTCCAATTCCTGCCGTCTCATCTCCCCCTCACTTTCTTTTTTCTTTCTTTCTTTTTTTGGACAGGCAGAGTTAGAGAGAGAGAGAGAGAGAGAGAGAGAGAGAGAGAGAAAGAGAAAGGTCTTCCTTCCGTTGGTTCACCCCCCAAATGGCCGCTACGGCCGGCGTGCTGCGCCGATCTGAAGCCAGGAGCCAGGTGCTTCTCCTGGTCTCCCATGCGGGTGCAGGGCCCAAGCACTTGGGCCATCCTCCACTGCCTTCCCAGGCCACAGCAGAGAGCTGGCCTGGAAGAGGAGCAACTGGGACAGAATCCGGCGCCCCGACCGGGACTAGAACCTGGTGAGCTGGCGCTGCAAGCGGAGGATTAGCCTAGTGAGCCACGGCGCCGGCTCCCCCTCACTTTCAAGCATTTCCACATCTGTGACTTTCCTTCCTGCCTCTTGCCTACCCAGCTTCATCACCTAAGTGGATATGGTAAGAACATATGGGGCTGTGCCGCGGGGATTGCTGTGGCTGTTTTACTGAAGAGTAAGCTGAGGCCCTGGGAGATGCCTTTCCCGAGTGAATAAACAGCATTTGGCGGAACAGAGGTTCCCTGTTCCTCCTGCTGAGTTCACACAGAGGCACGGGACGGCAGCCCCTCTCCCAGGTGTGTTCTCACTCACGTTCACTCACCTCTCTGAGTGGTGACCTCACGGCTCTCAGACCCAGCGTGTGGCCGAGAGTCCTGCGCCCACTTCAAGGCATGAGCAGAGGCTCTCATGTGCACGTGACCTTCTCCCTGGTGGCTCTCGGTGGCTCGCGGGCAATGGGATGTTTCTTCCCATCAGAGGCCCAGGGATGGGGTTAAAGGAGATCTGCTCTCCTCAGTGGCAGCAGGAGAGGGGGCTGCAGGATACCTTCACACAGGGGCTGGGCAGCAGGGGGCAGCTGGTGCAGCCCTGGCACCACTGCGCCCCCCTGCCCCCACCCCCGACATCCACAGGAACAAGGACACTTCCTGCGATCCCGATCCCGATTTGTTTGGGGATCTCAGCTCTCCAAGTGGAAAAAAATAAAAGTGCCCAGCCTCACTCTCTAACACCCAGGGATGGTGCAGAGAATGGGGCACTGGATTCAAAGACAGGAAATGTGGATTTGAAGGATGAGGGCAGTTCCTGGGGGGAGGACGCCTGCTCTTGGATTCCAGTTCTGCCATTTCTTACCATGTGTGATCTTGGACTTGATTTCTCTGAGCCTCCACTGTCTCATCTGGAGAACAGGTGCTCATTCAGGAACTGAAGCAGTGCGCAATAAGCAAGGAGGAAGTGGTGTTCTACGTCTGGGTGAAAGAGTGGTGAATGAGGCGGTTGAAGTCTTGGGGGCTGATAATAAATTATTCAGGGAGTCAATATGTTAGTGAAAGAAGCAGATGGCTAATAAATAATTACACAAGAAAACATTTCTATAGTGATGAATGCTACAAAGAAAACATGCCGCACCATGTGATGACGAAGGGGCTGCTTTACCTCAGGATGCATTGGGGGGTGACCTCTCTGGAAGCGTGAATGAGGATGAGAATGAACCAGATGTGCCAAGACCGGAAGTCGGGCAGTCAGAGAGAAGAAAGGGTGCTTCAGGCAGGTGCCACAGCCTGGGCAAAGGCCTTGAGATAGAAACAAGGGTGACAGGTGGCTGCAGACACAAGACATAACATGGGGGGTGTGGGGAAGGTCCGGGAGCTAGGCAGGGGCCCAGCTGGGGTCAAGGGTGTGGTAAGGAGGGTCTGTTTCATTGCAGGGTGATAAGAAGCCATTGGAGGGATTTTCAGCGCGAAAATTGGCCACGGAGGTGACACTAATTTTGAATACTGTAGTATATTTTTTTTTCTTTCAGACAGGCAGAGTGGACAGTGAGAGAGAGAGAGAGAGACAGAGAGAAAGGTCTTCCTTTGCCGTTGGTTCACCCTCCAATGGCCGCCACGGCCGGCGCGCTGCAGCCGGCGCACTGCGCTGATCCGATGGCAGGAGCCAGGAGCCAGGTGCTTTTCCTGGTCTCCCATGGGGTACAGGGCCCAAGCACCTGGGCCATCCTCCACTGCACTCCCTGGCCACAGCAGAGGGCTGGCCTGGAAGAGGGGCAACCGGGACAGAATCCGGCGCCCCGACCGGGACTAGAACCCGGTGTGCCGGCGCCGCTAGGCGGAGGATTAGCCTAGTGAGCTACGGCGCCGGCCTTGTCTTTTTTTTTTTTTAAGATTTATTTTATTTATTTGAAAGACAGAGTCACAGAGAGAGGTAGAGAGAGAGGTCTTCCATCTGCTGGTTCACTCCCCAGGTTGCCATAACGGCCCGAGCTGCGCCTATCTGTAGCCAGGAGCCAGGAGCTTCTTCCAGGCCTCCCACGTGGGTGCAGGCACCCAAGGACTTGGGCCATCCTCCACTGCTCTCCCAAGCCACAGCAGAGAGCTGGATGGGAAGAGGAGCAGCCGGGACTAGAACCGGCGCCCATATGGGATGCTGGCGCTTCAGGCCAGGGCTTTAACCTGCTGCGCCACAGCGCTGGCCCCAGGATATTGTCTTTTGAAAATATTTCTCAGACCACTGGCAGAGAATAAATTAGGGAACCAAGGGTAGAAGCAGGGGATTGATCTTCGGCAGTTGCAGTGGTCCAGGCAGTCCACGGTAGTAGCTTACACTCGGTGGCGATGAGGAGGTCAGACACAGGATTTGTTCTTGGGGGAAGCTGGCAGAGCTTGATGAGGGATGGGATGATGGGGTGAGGCACAGGGAGCTTCCAGGGTGGCAGAGTTGTCCTTCCAGGATGGCAGAGTTGTCCGTTGAGAGTTAACCTAGATAATGAGGACTAGCACTTGAAACAGTGCCTGAAACTTAGCAAAAGATCAGTGCACTTGCATCATGTTCATCACGCCTAGACCTGGGTCTGGGACTGAAGCACATGTGAATCTTGAGTGAGTGTCTCTCTGGTCCTTGCTTTCTTGTATACAACACGGCAGGCCAGATATTCTTTTACCTATTTGATAAACGTTTCTTAGGCCTAGGATTCACCAGGCTATATGCTGAGCACCAGAGATATGGGGTAATGAAGACCCAGTAGTGTCTGCTTTTGGAGAGCTGACAGAAGAGTGGGGAAGACGTGGTCAGGAAGAAGCTATACGTCCTGGGGTTGGTCAGGAAGGGACCGATGGCAGGTCCCTTGTCTGAGCATGTGTCCAGGAAAGCCTTCCTGTGCGAGTGACATTTACATGGTGAGCACAAGCATGAGTAAGAGCTGGCAAAGCAAGGGATGGGGATGGGTGGGGAGAGGTGGGGCCAGCAGGGAAGGAGGATGTCACACAGAGGTGACAGCACACAAATGCTTGAGGCATGAAAGAGCAGGACCCTTCCAAAGCCAAGATTCCCGTCTCATGCATGGGAGATCATGCGCAGAGACGGTGCCGGAGCCCACCAAACACGGGAGGGGACGTTTTCAAGAGATACGGGAGAGCCAAAGGGTTATTTACATTTTTAAAAAAGGTTTATTTATGTTCTTGAAGGGCAGAGTGACAGAAAGAAAGGGAGAGATATAGATCTTTTTATTAAAGATTTATTTGAAAGATGAGTTACAGAAAGAGAGAGAGAGAGTGTGTGTGTCTTCAATTCTCTGGTTCCCTCCCCAAATGGCTGCAATGCCTGGAGCAGGGCTGATCTAAAGCCAGGAGTCAGAAGCTTCCTCCAGGTCTCCCACGTGGGTGCAGGGGCCCAAGGACTTGGGCCATCTTCTGCTGCTTTCCCAGGTGCGTTAACAGGGAGCTGGATTGGAAGTGGAGTAGTCAGGACTCAAACCAGCAGGATGCTGGTGCTGCAGGCCGGAGCTTTAACCCACTGTGCCACCCACTGGTTCACTCCCCAAATTGGCACAGTGGCCAGGGCTGGGTCAGGCCGAAGCCAGCTCCCACATGGGTGCAGGGGCCCAAGCACTTGGGTCCTCTTCTGCTGCTTTAGCAGAGAGCTGGATTGGAAGTAGAGCAGCCGGGACTCAAACCGGCGCCCATATGGGATGCTGGCACTGCAGGCAGCAGCTTCACCTGCTGCGCCGTAGCACTGGCCCCCTATCAGTAGGTCATAACCTAGGGCTACACATTAACATCACTAAGGGAAATCTCAGACACAGTGCCGATTTCCAGGCTCTGGCCCCCAAATCCTGCATCCCAGGTTTCTGAATGGCTGTTGCTGGTGTCCAGCCAGAGTTGGGTGATGTTCAGTCATGGCCATGCTCCCCTGCCTGTGTGAAATGTCCTGAGTTCTGTCTTTGTGTGTAGTGGGATCACTGGAAAACTACTGGACTCTATTATGCCAGCTTCCTCATATTAGAAAGGGGTTGGAATTATGCTTCAATGTCTTTTCCTCAGTTATTATTGAGAAGAGAGCCAAGAAACAGTCACCTTAAAAACATTTCTGGACCTGCGCTGTGGCTCAGTGGGTTACGCCACCACCTGCAATGCCGGTATCCTATAGGAATACTGGTTCCAGTCCTGGTTGCACCACTTCTGATCCAGCTGCCTGCTAATGCACCTGGGAAAGCAGCGGAGGATGGCCCAAGAGGGCTCCTGTCACTCACATGGGAGACCTGGATGAAGCTCTGGGCTTGACTTGGCCCAACCGCACTCTTGTGGCTATTTGGGGAGTGAACCAATGGATGGAAGATTCTCTCTCTCTCTCTCTCTTTCTCTCTGTCACTCTGCCTGTCAAATAAATCCTGGTGTAAAAAAAAAATTCTGCATTTGCTGCAGAGGTACTTTTGAAGTGATTACAATGTTCACTGTTATCAGCTTGCTGTAACTTGTCTCTTTTTAAGAACTGGTGTGCCTTCTCGTCCCAGGGAGTGAGAATTCAGTAATTTGATATACTTACTTTCTTGCTTTTGGCTGCCAGGAAGCTCAAAGCCAAATCTGGAACCTGCCAATGGTAGCTATACTAATCTGCACATGCTGGAGAATGGTATTTTTTTGTTTAAGATTTATTTTATTTATTTGAAAGACAGAGTTACAAAGAGAGGTAAAGTCTGAGAGAGAGGTCTTCCATCTGCTGGTTCACTCCCTAGATGGCTGCAACAGCCAGAGCTGTGCCAATCCGAAGCCAGGAGCCAGGAGCTTCTTCTGGGTCTCCCATACGGGTGCAGGGGCCCAAGCACTTGGGCCATCTTCTACTGCTTTCCCAGGCCACAGCAGAGAGCTGGATTGGAAGAAGAGCAGCCGGGACTGGAACCAGCGCCCATATGGGATGCCTGTGCTTCAGGCTAGGACTTTAGCCCATGGCACCACAGCGCCAGTCCCGAATGGCATATTCTTTCCCCCTGGGTTTTAATTTAGTATTTCTAACTTAATCCTACTATTAAGCATGTCTGAGGTGGGCACTGTTGCTAAGCCTAGTGACAGTTCTTCCCCAGTACCAACCTGCACACCTTGCGGGAGTTCATGGAACAGTGGCAGCTGAGGACCACATACGTCACTGTTATGAGGGCGGCAGACGCTAAGACACCAGATCAACACACAAGGGAATAGCAGCGTTTGCTGGGATCACCAGTATCCTTTCTCTGGATTCCATCTCGAAAGGTGCTTGGGTGTCTCTTATCTGAGTCAGGGTTTGTCTCACGGATATTTCCTTAAAAACTAGCAGGTGTCCTCTGTGCTGTGTAAGACTTTTTCCTCTCCTTTGATTATCAAAGTGACCCCCAGAAGTAGGTACCACAAAAGGTCCTTTCATAAAGGGGAAACTGAGGTCCAAAATGTGTCCATGAATGATCCAAAGCCAGAGACCCAGGGGGTGGGTCTTTCGGTGACAAGTCCCACATACCTCCTGGCCATTATCTGTCTGTGCCCCATAAATGTGTCCACCTGTGCTGGAGTCTTTAAAAAGGTGGTTTTTGTGGACTCAGAGCCTTGGCAGCTCATGACAAGAGCCTCGGGTGATCAGTGACATCAAAAATAAGAGTGTCACTTGTTAAATCGATAACAGGAGTCACTGTGCACTTGCTCCCCATGTAGGATCTCTGTCCTTAATGAGTTGTACTATGAGAATTGACGGTAAAAATAGTCTTCAAACAGTACTTTATACTTTGTGTGTCCATGTGGGTGCAAACTGTTGAAATCTTAGTATAAAGTTGATCTTCTGTATACAAAGATAATTAAAATGAATCTTCATGAAGAATGAGATGGGAAAGGGAGTAGGAGGTGGGACGGTTGGGGGTGCGAGGGTGGGTATGGGAGGAAGAACCGTTATAATCCAAAAGTTGGACCTATGAAAGTTATATTTACTAAATAAAAGCTTTCTATAAAAAAGGTGGTTTTCTCCTCCTCGGGGCATCCCATCAGGCCCTCTGCTGCTGGCCTTCTCCATTTCTTCTCGTAAGTCCGAGCTCTCAGCCACATTCTGATGACATGCGGTGCATCCCTATTTCTGGCAGCTCAGCTAAGGCCTGATTTCTGTTGCCTTCCTGTCCGGCATTCCAGAGGAATTCCTGTCTCTCCCACCTGCCTACCTTCCTCTGCATCCCAACCCCACCCTGAGCTCCGTGTCCAATAACTGTGGAGGAGGAGCGCTCACCCCAAGAAGCACAGGATCCACCCTCCATCGGGGAGGGACTGGGAGCCGCTTAGCTGCTGTCGATGATCATGGGAAGCCTTGGTCCACTGGACTCTGCCCCTGTAGAAGGCATTTCGTCTCTGTCTCTTTCCTCTCTCATGAATTATTATTTTTTAAACTTTTATTTAATGAATATAAATTTCCAAAGTACAGCTTATGGATTACAATGGCTCCCCCCCACCATAACTTCCCTCCCACCCGCAACCCTCCCCTTTCCTGCTCCCTCTCCCCTTCCATTCACATCAAGATTCATTTTCAATTCTCTTTATATACAGAAGATCAGTTTAGCATATATTAAGTAAAGATTTCAACAGTTTGCACCCACATAGAAACACAAAGTGAAAAATACTGTTTGAGTACTAGTTATAGCATTAAATCACAATGTAGAGCACATTAAGGACAGAGATCCTACATGAGCAGTAAGTGCACAGTGACTCCTGTTGTTGACTTAACAAATTGACACTCTTGTTTCTGGCATCAGTAATCACCCTAGGCTCTTGTCATGAGTTGCCAAGGCTATGGAAGCCTTTTGAGTTCACCGACTCTGATCATATTTAGACAAGGTCGTCAGAGTGGAAGTTCTCTCCTCCCTTCACAGAAAGGTACCTCCTTCTTTGATGACCTGTTCTTTCCACTGGGATCTCACTTGTGGAGATCTTTCATTTAGGTGGTTTTTTTTTTTTTTTTTTTTTTTTTTTTTTTTTTTTTTTTTTTTGCCAGAGCGTCTTGGCTTTCCATGCCTGAAATACTCTCATGGGCTTTTCAGCCAGATCCGCATGCCTTAAGGGTTGATTCTGAGGCCAGAGTGCTGTTTAGGACATCTGCCATTCTATGAGTCATGAATTATTATTTTAACAATTTATACTCTGCCGTGTTCTATCTTAGCAACACTTCCTTCTGAAGCGGAAGCTGATACTTTGCCTCAGGACAAAATATTTCTGCACCAACTCAGAAGACCCGAGACCCAGTTCAATGAGAAAGACTCTTGGGATTCCCCCATAGCCAGAGGCTCCTTCTGCCTGGGTCTACCACCGCTTCTATTCCAATTATGCTGTCAGCAAATGCATCCATTTTTGAAATAACACCTCCATTATGGATGGGTTATTTATATAGAGTAGACCAAAGTGTCCATAATGCTTACCCAGAAGGCGAGTGCGTTCCTATGTCTGACTGCTCTCTACTTAAAACTTACCACCTGTTTCCTGGATCTGAGCCACTGTGCCACCCACTTTTAATAGATGATGCCGCGTCTGTGCTTTTAGGCTGCTATCTATTTTCTTGGGTCATACTAGTCTTTATGGGTTTCTCAAATTTAGAAGTGTCACAGTCTGTATTATCGGTTTTAGCCTACCAAGTTCCTAAGACAGGCGAGCCTGTTTTCGCCTTTTTTTTTTTTTAAGATTTTATTTATTCATTTGTGAGGTAGAGTTACAGACAGTGAGGGAGAGACAGAGAGAAAGGTCTTCCTTCCGTTGGTTCACTCCCCAAATGGCTGCAGCGGCCAGAGCTGTGCCAATCTGAAGCCAGGAGCCAGGTGCTTCTTCCCAGTCTCCCATGTGGGTGCAGGGGCCTAAGGACTTGGGCTGTCTTCTACTGCTCTCCCAGGCCATAGCAGAGAGCCGGATTGGAAGAGGAGCAGCCAGGACTCAAACCAGCACCCATATGGGATGCTGGCCACTGCAGGCAATGGCTTTACCCACTACGCCACAGCACCAAGCCTGCCTGTTTTCTCTTACACACACCCACCCACCCACACACCCACACACCCACACACACACACACACACACACACTCAGAGAGAGAGAGAGAGAGAGAGAGAGAGAGAGAGAGAAAGAGAAAGAGAGAGAGGGGGTTTTCCCAAAATTTTGTAGTCTCTGGGTGGAGTGTGTTCCCATGAACTTTTCTCGTCCAGCGAAAGAGGAAGAAATGTTTTCCTCACTCTGGCACCGTCAGTAGCTGTCTAGGTAGTCTGTGGTTTCCTGGGTCTCCCGTGTCCTCTTATATCAAAGAAACTGAAATGCCGTGTGGACGATCCTCCTCCCACCGTTCAAGGGCAGTCCCTGCTCTCTGCACCTGTCAGCCGTGCACAACTGCCTCCAGAGAGCGCCTGCTGTTCCCCTGCTTTTCCTTCTTTGTATGCAGCCGTGCTCTCAGAGCTGAGGGTCTCGGCCATCTTCCGTCCTGACCCCCTGACTGCTCTGCTCCGCAGTCTTTCTCAGTACCTTCAGGAGCCTCTCCTCCCGGTCCTCTCGCTGGGAGTCCAACTGGAAGGGAAACCTCTGTGATGATCGGGCGGCCAGCACTTGGCGGGCGCAGGTCTCTTTCCATAACAGCAATCAGCTGACCAAACCAGAGCACCAGAAGGAGTCTCCCATTCGTGAGCAGAACCAGGACAAGGGGTGGCCCAAGAGCTGGATTCAGTCACGATGCCTGCATAGTCATGGTGTCGACGCCTGTGCAAGTATTGGGTTGGGCCTGAGACTCCTCCAACTTTCTTTTCAAAATTAAACTTTTTACTTTTATACAAGTATAGTCAGATGCAATCAAAAGACGCAGTACAGAAAAACCCAACACAAGGTCGATGTAGTTTTCGCTAACGGACTTGCTATGCTGTAGCGCAATATCACAACCAGGACACCGACAGTGACACAGTCAAGAAAACAGATCATTTCCAGCACCACAAGGATTTTGTAGACACACAGCCTCCCTCCTCCCTGATTCCTACCAACCACCGATCTGTCCTCCATTGCTATAACTTTGCCGTTCCAGAATGTTATATAAACGGAGACGTGCAATATGCAGCTTTTCAAATTGGCCTTTTTCACTCTGCATAACACTCCAGAGATTCGCCCAGGTGGTAGCATGTGTGAATAGTCCATGCCTTTTATTTCTGACTTGGATGCTATGATATGAATATACCATATATATATATATATCTTAACCATTCACCCACTGAAGGACAAGCCGGTTGTTAGTGGGTTTTGGCTATTATGACTATAAAAGTGTTATAAACACTCATAAACAGATTTTGGTTTTAATCTAAGTCTTCATTTCTCCAGGATAAGTGCCTAGGAACACAGTTTCTGGGTCATACAGTAGTTGTAGGTTTCATTTTTAAAAGAAATGGCTAAGCTTATCCAGAGTGACTGTGCCATTTCACGCTGCCATTGGAAATGTGTATTTCTCCACATCCCTGAGAGCACTTGGTGCTGTCACTTTTTTTTTTTTTTTGGTTTGTTTGTTTGTTTCTAGACATCCTGCTATGTGTGTGACAGAGTCTCTTGTTTTTACGCTGTATTTCCCTAATGAGTAGTGCTGTTGAACATCTTCACACGTGCTTGCTTTCTGTGTGTGTATCCTCTTCAGTAAGATGCCTTTTTGTGTGTTTTGCCAGTTTTCTAGTTGGATTAGTTTTTACCTTGAGTTTTGAATATTCTATGTACTAGTCCTTTGTCAGATATGGGTTTTGACACAAATATTTTCTACCCATTCATAATTTCTCTTTTCACCCTCTTTGGCTCTTTCACAAAGCAAATTTTTTTATTTTGATAAAGTTTAACTTAACTGTTTTTCCTTTTGTGGATTATGCTTTTGGTATCATATTTAAAAACTCTTTTCCTACTCCTAGAACTTGGAGTTGTTTTTCTATTTCAAAAAAATTTATCAGAGAGAGAGAGAGACAGACAGAGACAGAGACAGAAACGGAGTGTTCCCATTAGTTGTTTCATTCCCCAAATACCCACCATTGCCAGGTCCACTTCTCCTCTTTTTTTCTAAATGTTTTGTAGTTTTGTGTTTTACATTTAAATGTGACCCATTTGAAGTAATTTTTACATAGTGTATGAGACTTAGATTAAGATTTATTTGGGGCGAGGTGGGTAAAGCAGCTGCCTGCTGTGCCGGCATCCCACATGGGTGCTGGCTTGAGTCCTGGCTGCTCCACTTCCAATCCAGCTCTCTGCTATGGCCTGGGAAAGCAGTAGAAGATGGCCCAAGTTCTTGGGCCCCTGTACCCACGTGAGAGACCCAGAAGAAGCTCCTGCCTCCTGACTTCAGATCAGCACAGCTAAGGTGGATGTGGCCAACTGGGGAGCGTAACTCTGACTTTCAAATAACTAAATAAATAAACAAATAAATAACTAAAACAAAAAATAGATTCATTTGAGGTTTCTATCCATGGATGTCTAACTACTTTAGCACCATTTATTGAAAAGCTTGCCATTCACTCATGTAATCGTTTTGTGCCTTTGCCGAAAGTCAGTTGGACATATTTGTGTGGTTCTCTCTCTCTGAGTCCTCTGTTCTGTCCATTAGCCTGTGTGTCTGTCCTTACCCTGGCAGAGTCCGCATTAGTACAACCACATAATAAATCTTGACCAATAGATCCTTTCCTCCCGGTTTGTTTTTAAATTGTTTTAGCTATTTCCTTTTCTATTTCCACAAAAAAGGGTTGCTCAGATTCTGGTAAGAATTGTGTTAAATCTGTATGTTAATTTGAGAAAAATTGACATTTTTACTATGTTGCGTCTTCCAATCCATGAATATAGTATACAACTTCATTTATTTAATATCGTCTTTGATATCTCATCAATGGTATAGTTTTCAGTATATAAGTCTTGTACTTTGTACCCTGTTGAATTTACAACTAAATATTAGCAATTATATCATTGATTTTGAATTTCAGTGTTTTTGCGTACATTGTTACTAAATAGAAGTGCAATTATTTTTTATGTGTGAATTTGGTATCCTGTGCCTTTTTTTTTTTTATTTGACAGGTAGAGTTATAGACAGTGAAAGACAGAGACAGAGAGAAAGGTCTTCCTTCTGTTGGCTCACCCCCCAAGTGACCACTATGGCCGGAGCTATGCTGATTCAAAGCCAGGAGCCGGGTACTTCTTCCTGGTCTCCGACACTGGTGCAGGCACCCAAGCACTTGAGCCATCCTCTACTGCTTTCCCGGGCCACAGCAGAGAGCTGGACTGGAAGAGGAGCAACCAGGACTAGAACCCGGGGCCCATATGGGATGCTGGCGCTGCAGGCAGAGGATTAACCAAGTGAGCCACGGTGCCGGCCCCTTTCTGTGCCTTTTTTTTTTTTTTTTTGACAGGCAGAGTGGACAGTGAGAGAGAGACAGAGAGAAAGGTCTTCCTTTACTGTTGGTTCACCCTCCAATGGCCGCCGCGGCCCGCGCACTGCGGCCTGCGCACCACACTGATCCGATGGCAGGAGCCAGGAGCCAGGTGCTTTTCCTGGTCTCCCATGGGGTGCAGGGCCCAAGCACTTGGGCCATCCTCCACTGCACTCCCGGGCCACAGCAGAGAGCTGGCCTGGAAGAGGGGCAACCGGGACAGAATCCAGCGCCCCGACCGGGACTAGAACCCGGTGTGCTGGCGCCGCTAGGCGGAGGATTAGCCTAGTGAGCCGCGGCGCCGGCTCCTGTGCCTTTCTTAATTCATGTTTTTGTCCTACAGTTTGGGGGAGATACATTAATTGAGATTCTCTACATGTCCAGTCATGGTATCTGAAAATAAGACAGTTTTCTTCCTTCCTTCCACCTGTGTAGCTTTTATTTCCTTTTCTTGCTTTATTGTACTTTATTCCAGTACTCTGCTGAGTCTCTGTTCTTTAACTGTAGATTTGGATCATTCACATACAATGCAATTATTGGTATGTTAAGGATATTTGTGTCTTTTTTTGTTTAGATTTGTTCTCGGTAGTTTTTTTTTAAAGGAAAGTTAGTTTTCATTAGCTTCTTTATTTTTGGTAACGTCAAATTTTTATTTTTGCATGGGGATCATGTCCTACTTCTGTTTTATTTTTTAAAAAGATTGTATTTATTTATTTGAGAGGTAAAGTTACAGACAGTGAGAGGGAGAGACAGAGAGAAAGGTCTTCCTTCCATTGGTTCACTCCCCAAATGGCCACAATGGCCGGAGGTAGGTGGATCCGAAGCCAGGAGCCAAGTGCTTCTTCCAGGTCTCCCACGTGGGTGCAGGGGCCCAAGCACTTGGGCCATCTTCCACTGCTTTCCCAGGCCACAGCAGAGAGCTAGATTGAAAAAGGAGCAACTGGGACTTGAACTGGTGCCCATATGAGATGCCGGCACCACAGGCGGAGGATTAATTTACTGTGCCATGGCCCCGGCCCCTGTTCTCTCTAGTTTTTAAATCGTTTCTCTGTTTCTTTTTCCCTGCATTTTTGTGGATTACTTAAACATTTTTTAAGAATTCAATTTTTAAAATTTATTTTGTATTTGAAAGGCAGAGTGATAGAAAGAGAGATCTTTCATCTTCTGGTTCAGGCTCCAAAAGGCCACAATAACCAGGGTTGCACCAGGCCAAGAGCAAGAGCCACCAGCTCCATCTGAGTCTCCCATGCAGGCAGCAGGAACCCAAGCACTTGAGCCATCCTTTGCTGCCTCCCAGTTACAAGCAGGACTCTGATCTGGAAGTGGAGGCGGGACTTGGAGACAGGCATTCCACTGCAGGATGGGGACTATAAGGCGTTTAAGTCTATCTTTGTGTATTTCTGTGCTTTTCTAGACATTCTATTATGTGTACATAACTTATCACTGTCTCCCAGGGCTGTGACTTATCAGCTCCAATGAAGTAGAGAAGCCTTACCTTCCTTTACATCCCATGGCCCTCCTCCATTGTAACATAATCACTTCAATGGTTCCTCTACACACGTCTCGAACCACATCAGTGTCATAATTTTTCTTCATCTGTCAAACCTCAGTTAGAAAGCTCAAGTGGAGGCGGAACGTCTATTCCCCATCCCCATATTCCTGCACACTATGTCCTTTATTCCTTCTTGATGTTCACAAATTCTCTTACTGGTTCCCTTCTGTTTAGAGAACCTGTTAGTCCTCCTTTTAGGGTGAGACTGCCAGAGACACATTCTCTTAGTTTTTTGCATCAGAGATTGTCCTGTTTCCCTTTAATTTCTGGAGAAAATTTGTGTTGGCTGTGGGATTTTAGGTTGACAGAATCTGATATCATTTTTTAGCACTCGATGTGCCACTTCCTTCTGGCTTACAGGATTTCTGATAAGAATCCACAGCCACTTGAACTGTTTTTCCTCTGTAGGTAAGACTGTTCTCTCTCAAGTTTTTTTTTTATCTTTAGTTTCAGAAATTTGACTACCGTACATCTTGTTATGGGTTTCTTTGGA